GAGGATACTCAACCTCAACCGAGTTTCAGGATCACGCCCGTCCCGAGGATACTCAACCTCAACCGAGTTTTAGGATCACGCCCGTCCCGAGGATACTCAACCTCAACCGAGTTTTAGGATCACGCCCGTCCCGAGGATACTCAACCTCAACCGAGTTTTAGGATCACGCCCGTCCCGAGGATACTCAACCTCAACCGAGTTTTAGGATCGATTACGTCCCGAGGATACTCAACCTCAGTCTAATTCCTCACCAAACCCTAACCTGGATATGGCTAAACTTTCTTTCACTTAACTATGGACAATACCTAGTCCTATAGTTGTATAATAATCACTAGTAACCAACGTGGGCGGGTCCCACTTGAACGGCCCACGTTAACCTGCTCAAAACTGCCCGTTTTGGCATAATATCAATACCCTATCGGGTACCCACCCATACTCGGTCGAGTATGGGAGCCAGTAGCTCCAAATATACACTTCCAGCCCATACTCGGTCGAGTATACACCCATACTCGATCGCGTATGGGAGGCAGAAACTCCAGAATAGCACTTTCTGGCCATACTCGGTCGAGTATATACCAATACTCGGTCGAGTATGGGAGTTGACTTGGCGTTCAACGCCCGTTTGGCCGCCCAAACGAAGTCCGATTAACGTGAAATTTGACATGCGTGTACCTCTAGACTTCCTTAACCCAAAAATACCATTTTGAGTCCTTGGAACATCATGTACACTAATTTATAATATTTTCATTAATCAAACTTGTTTAACATGCTTTTCACTATGTTATGTTCTTCTATAAGTCATAACACATGCTTTAATACCATTAATCAATTCATAAAACATATTATTGATTAATTTAGGTAATCTTATGCCTAACGCAAAAGTTACAAAGCATATAGCCGTCTTCTCACCTTAATGAAGCCTTGAAGTCTTAGCCTTCCTTATTGAGCTCCGACGAAACTCCGGCGAACTTCAACTGACTCCGGCGACCACTCCGGCGACTCTTTCAACTCCGTGAAAGTTCTTGAAATACCTTATACAAGTTAACAACAAGGTTTTATCATCATAAAACCCTTAGCAACACAAATAACCTCCAAAAGGTTATTTTCCGGCGAAACCGCCTACTTTGTCTTCTAAGTCCGTTCTTGGACTTAGAGCTTCCTTTCCAACTCCATTCTACACTTTCACACGTGTAGAACTACCCTAGGAGTATGAAATATGATTAAGGAGAAGAAAAAGGATTAATGAAGTCATTACCTTGTTAACCACAAGTTTTCCCACCTAAACTCCTCTTTTCCCTTCTCTTTTTCCTTCCTCCTTCCTTCCCTTGCTTTGGGCGTGTATGGTGGATAACAATGGAGTTTTTGCAGCACTCTCTCTCTCCTTGGATGTGGTATAGCCGAGCTGTGATGATATGGGGTGATGGAGAATGCCTTTTTGGCATTTCTCTCAAATATCACATGGGAGGGTCCCATATATTTTATTACATTTGTTCCCAAATCAAATCCTGCCCCTTCTCCTTTATTATTGTGCGGCTCCCCTTGGCAAATGCAGCCCAAAGTCGTGGGGTGGCCCCCACTCATGTGGGAGGTCATCCCTTAATGTCCCCAAGTGTACAATTTGTCCCGAAAGTTGTATTTTCTGGACTGTTTTAACTATATTTCATTTTATCGGGTCCAATGAAATATTTACCATTCCTCCAATCAATATTGGCTTTTTAGATAGATGTACATTCCCCAACTTTTAATTTGACGGACTCCATAATTTATTATGGTCTTTTATCTGTCAGTACTCCGGTACCGGTAATTGGGCCTTACGTACACAACTGACCACTCGCATGGTTTCTATAGCCCAACAAGACTATCCACTATCATATAAACATCATCTAAGCCCAGATGAATATAATATGTAGTCCCGATATTCCCGGGCGGTCCCCACCTCCGGTGTGGGCCCCACGTGAAGTTTACTATTCACGTAAAGAAATGATAAAAATTTACAATCGCGTAAAATACGTTTATTCATTTCTCATGGTTCAATACAATATTTAATTGAGTACGAATACTTGGGGGCGGTGTTACACTACTGATTTAAGAAACAATTATTTTGAAAAAAATATTTTATTAATAAAAAAAGAAAAAAATTATGTATAAAAAAACTAAAATGACCATCTATAGTAACTTCGGCCAATGTAGCCAGAAAAGTAACTCCAACCTTACTTTTTCTTATTATTACACAATTCAGTGCGCGAAAACAAAAATACGTGTTTCGTGAAAAGGTTGACTGAAAAGCCTGATAAGGCGAAAAACAGTGTTACCAAACGGCCTCTATATGTAGAAAGTAAGTTGTAATGGTATTGAGCAAATAATGTTGGGTTATTTTAGTCACAAACTACCAAATTAAAATGGATCATACTCAGAGGCGAATCTAGGATATCAATTCAGGAGAGGCCAAACTTTTCAAATACAAAAATAAATCTTAGCTGTGTAAGAAAAATGTAAAATGAATGTGAGCCACACGAATTTTCCAAAAATGGTAAGTGAGAAGAATTTTTTGGGACATAAAAAAAAAAGTTGGAAGAATTTTATCAGACGGAGGGAGTACAAGTGTTTTACAAGGATAAAAGTTTATATCCAAGTGAAGCTATCAAGTATTCCCTCTGTCCTACTATAATTGTCTCATTTTTCTTTTTCCGTTTGTTCTATTAAATTTGTCTTATACTATATTTGATAATATTGTGTGGTTCTAATTCATTTTTACTTTATTTATACTTTAGCAATTCATTATCAACCACATAAGTCTATTTTTCTTAAAACCGTGACACTCTTATTCGTCCCAATCTTATGGGGACAGAGGTAGAATAAAAAACATTAACTAAAAGAAGAAGCTAAGTTATACAATTGATAGATACTAGAGTATCCAATTGTATAGAATACAGAGAGATTGAGAGTATAGAACAAGGTATAGGTGCAACCCTAGCGGGTAGGGGGCGGGGGCCATTGGCCAAAAAAAGATATTAAGGTCCAATTTTTTTTTTCTTAGTAGTAGGTTTGAGCAGGGTGATTTTTCAACATTCAAATACCCATTTTGTCTTGCCCAGTCGCCCAAAGGCCCAGGGAATATTTTTCAATAGAGATATTTTCTAACTTTTTTCTGTTTTCCGTTCTCCAATTTTTTGTTTTGATTTTCCAATTTTTCGATCCAATTTTCTGGTTCTCATTTTTTAGTTTTCCATTTTCCAATCTGAAAACATATTTACCAAATGTTTTTACCCAATTTTGAGACTGAACGGAAGACCGAAAGTTCTGTCCCGATCCGGCACCGGACCTGGTACAACCAAAATAGGGTACCTGTGATGGGTATAGGAAAGGGTGAAGTTGACTTACCACTTTTTGGGTGATATTGGACTTTGCATCCCATTTTGAAAAAACTTTGATTTTGCACCCCATTCCACTTAAAATTCCTTTGACTTTGCACCACATTTAGAAATTTTTCTTCTCAAAATGGTATGTGTTGTCGTGCAAAGTCAAAGTTTTTTAAAAATGGGGTGCAAAATCCAATATCACCCAAAAAGTGGGGTGCAAAGTCAAATTCTCCCTATAGGAAAATTGGGACCAAAACCGGATAGTCTTGGTCGGTCCCAACAGCTAGATTGACTAATTCTTTTCCTTTCTCCCTACTGGTTGGGAACCCAACGACTCTTTTGAAACTCTTCACTTTGAAAAAAATGTTTTAAAAAATGAGAACTAGACAATGACCACCGAGTCGTCGATCGGACCAGGCAGGGATTGCCGGGTTGTCAATTGGATGCAACTTACCAGGACCGCCTAGTCATCAGGCGGACCAGACTGAGCCGGAATCGAGATCGGAGCAGGACCGGGTCAACCACCGGGCGTAAGTAGGTAAATTCATAGTAGCAGCACTGTAGCCTCCGCGCATTTCAAATTTCAAAGACTAGTAAAACTCACTTCTCCAATTTATTAAGGAAAACAGAGATATCCCATTTTTGGTTTTAGAAAATGATTTGGTGAACGCATTTTTCTGTTTTCCTTTCTGCATCTTTCCAGCAATTTTTTCGGTAAACATGTTTTCATGTTTTTCTTTTTCCAGTTTTACAGTTCTCTTGAAAACTAGAGAATATCTCTATTAGTAAACAACTCTTAGATTCACCAATGGAAAATTGAAAAAGACTAAATCCTAAAGGAGGTTCACGACTTACGAAACAGCCGAATGACAATATCGATGAACTCTGTGTTTGAAAAATTGTGTTAAATTTGCATTAAAGGGCCATTTCCAGGCATATTGTTTTTATATTGACCCACTTCCGATTTGAATCGGATCAAAGTGGATTCGGATTCTCCTTTTTATGTGTTTCAATTCAATATGTGGTGCACTCAAAACGGATAACGGTGGATGAGAAATTGATTCTCACAGTTCACTTGTTGAGCTGAGAAAACCGGAAAATTCCAAAGGTCGAACTAAATGTAGAAGTACCGGGAGTTAGTAGAAGTTTTAATTTTTCATTCGAACTGCCAGCATTTTGAACGTTGGTTAACGTTCTGAAACTATCATACATGATTAATATTTAATAATGCATGGTTTAATTGTGTGATTAATATCTTGTAACGTTCCAACCCATTAAGACGTGTTTAATGGATGGTTTCACTACAATAAGTGTGGTAGTAGTGCATAATTAATACAAAGCTCCTTCTCCCCTATATATGCTTAGCCGAACCTTTTGGAAATAATACTGAGCATATTGAGCATTTTGAAAATACTACTCGTATCACATACTCGCTGCAATATTCTCTCAAACGAAAAACTCGGCCAAACTTCCGATTAAACTTCCTCAGCTATTTTTTTTGTTTTTTTTTATGCTTCATCATTACTCATTACAGTAGCAAAAATTTATCATTTGTTCGAGGACAAAATATAGTTTTCCCAAGTTAAACAATCTTCAGAATGGGCCGCGAGACACACAATCATCTTTGTATTGAGAAATGTTTTTTTTTATAAAAAGATATTTTATTAATGAAAAAGAAAGTACAAAAACAAAGCACGGAAAAAGAAACAAAGAAAAAAACGAGAAAGTAAATAACTAACCCCAAGTACAATAGAAACCCCCCTCAATAAAAAAAACCTCATATCAAGGTTCCTCGCGAGTTTGGGATCTTGTCCTCATATGGTGTGACAACGAAATCAAGAAATTGGGCAAGAAATCATTAAGATGTGATAATGAGGAGTCAATTTCAGAACGGAGCACCAAAGATTGGTCACAGAGGTCAGACTTTTCAACATCAATTTGAAAAAGAGTGCCAGAAATTGAAAGCTCGTTAAGAGGGAGATCTCTATCCAAGGTGACAAGATCCCACTCAAAATTAGTGTTTTTCCTTGGACTATGTTCAAGTAGTAGAGGTGGCTGTTTGACTTTGACTTCTTTCAACAAAATGACTGATTTCATAATCCGTGACAGAAAGAGCTTAATCCCTAATCCATTCCTTCCCTCGAGAATATACAAAGATTCGACACCCCTCTCAATGATACGGAAGAAACCGCCAAATAAATTCTCGAGCTCCAATTAACATCATAGAAAATAGAAAAAGAATTCTGGAGCTCCAATTTGGTGCAAGACCAGTTATCAGATAGAATAGTATAAATGGAGTCCCTTAGCCAAATAATGCTTTCAATATCAATTTCAACACTAGATGAAATGCCACATTTTGTTTCAGATATTCGAAACAAAATGTTTTGCTCTCAATGATAAGTTTCAATCCATTTGATGCCTCTGGAAAACATTGATACCTATTTGACTATTTCCCGATTGCTTGTCAACCTTCTTGGATGGCCTCTGCGGCTCTGCCTAATGCTTGATTGTCGAACTGGGAACCCAATATTTGCTCGCTGCTGTACTGCTGTGCCAAATGATTGAAAGCCTCTGGCCGGTTGAACTCATTTGGACCAAGATCCCTGAGTCGTTGTTGTTGACCCAACTTTGTGATTGTAAACTCTGAATCGTTTGGATCTGTCGTCGATATTGAGGTCTCGCCGTCGCAGGATTGGTCTTCGCCTGGTCTCAGTAAGCCACGGAGTGTGGCCTTTATCTCTGGTCAGCAGATCTGAATTAGGACCATCCCGTCGCAGGTGAACAGGGGATTCCGCTGAGATGGTGTTGTTGTGGTTGAACTCTCTCTTCTGTGGATTTGAGTTCCCATGACTTTCTAAGAGGTGAAAGATGAATGACCCAAAGGAGATGGAAGAAGGCCGCTCATGATCGGCTGTGGTGACTGCCAAGGCCTTGGCGGCGCTATACTTCCTCAGCTATACTTTATCAACAATAATATAGAAATAATAAGAGAGAATTCCCCAAATAGGAGTAAAAACGTTTTGAAATTCCAAAATAGGAGTATCATGTTTTTTATTCCTTGAATAGGAGTAATCTGCCAAGTTTGGAAGAAAATGCCATGCTTAAAAGCCTTGTAATGTCAAACTTGGCAGAAATTTACTCCTATTCAGGGAATAAAAAACATGATACTCCTATTTTGGAATTTCAAAACGTTTTTACTCCTATTTAGGTCAATTTCTGAAATAATAATATAGAAACAGTAATATAGAATTACTCTATCACAGTTCACAAGTATAGTAGAAACATTCAACAATAGAATTACTACTAACAAAAGATAATAGGATTAATGTAAAAAAAATGAGATTGATACTCACAAATTTCAATCATGTTAATTCTAGTTGTATTACTAATAAATTTGTAATAAACAATGAGTTAAATACTAACAATTATACTAGTGCTTGTTAGGCCGCGGGGATGCGATGCCAACATTTCTGTCAGCCAGTCAGTGCAATCGACTGTGATGATTTGCCTATTCTATAAATATAAATGGAAGAATGGCGTGTTACATGACCTAACTAAACTTAGAAGCTTTCTGTTCGTCTTATTCTTATTACTTATAACTTATTCTTATTTTATTCAGATCAGATCAAAAACATTTAGATCAGACCAGATCAAAAACATTCAGATCAGATAAGGAAGATTTGTCTCTTTTTTTATAATTGTAATAATAATTGTTATTCTTTATTATTATTATTATTGTTATTATTATTATTATTATGCAAGTTAGATTAGTTATAAAAGAGTTTTACATTTTTTTTAAAATTATGTCCATTTTAATTCTCCGCTCATAGGCCTTCAACCATACAGGATCCGCCTTGCTTGGACCACATGAGAAATCTGAAGGCGAGCTGCTCTGCCTGCCTGATGGCTCCAATCGACGAAACTGTCCCTGGTGTACCTGCAAAAGTTGGCCCGACAAACAAATGAGAAGGGGATAGACTATTGTGGTCAAGAACGGACTTATGTGTGTATGGGTAGGGGGCAATTGCCCCTCCCAACTTTTTTATTTTTTAATACTACTACAGTACTACTACTCCGTATTGTGAAATAATGATACCGGTTGCCCTCTAAGGAGCCCGGGCAGATATATTTATATAAGAGAAATATTGGTTAAAATACACAAATATCCCTAGTCTATTACACCCCCTCAAACTGTGCGGGAGATACAACGCGCAGGTTGTCCTTTAAAAAATGAAAACGTTGACTAGGAAGACTTTTAGTAAAAATATCTGCCAACTAAAGATGAGTGGGAACATATCTGACAAGTAAATCACCATGAGCCACTCGTTCGCGAACAAAATGATAATCAATCTGAATATGTTTGCTCCGAGCATGTTGAATTGGATTGGCAGTCAGGTAGGAAGCAGAGATATTATCACACAGTAGATGAACCGGTACCGTGATGGGAAATCCTAGCTAAAAAAGAACGGACCGAATGTGCAACGTGTCCTGGACTGTATATGCAATGGCTTTATATTCAGCTTCAGTAGATGATTTGGACACTGTTGGTTGCTTCTTTGACTTCCAAGAGATTAGATTGGGACCCAGAAATACTGCAAACCCCGTAGTAGACCGTGAGCTATCCGGACAGCCAGCCCAATCTGCATCAGAATATGCCAAAATACCTGTCGGGGTGGCGGAGGTCTGAAGCCAGAGACCATGATCACGAGTACCCTGTAAATATCTGAATATACGCTTGACTGCAAGCAAGTGAGTAGTGCGGGGAGCATGCATAAACTGAGACACTAAATGTACTGCAAAAGTAATATCAGGTCGTGTCAAAGTTAAATATTGCAATGCACTTACCATGCTGCGATACTCCGTCGCATCTGTCAGAAGCTCACCATCAGTGAGGGTTAAAGTCGTACGAGAGGCTAGAGGAGTACGGACAGATTTAACAGTATGAAGGTGAAAACGGGCAAGTAAATCAGTGACATACTTTTGTTGAGAGAGAAACAAACCTTTGGAGGTACGAGTGGCCTCAATGCCCAGAAAATAATGAAGAGCACCTAGATCTTTCATAGCAAAATGATGAGATATAAGAGAAATAAAATGATTGACAGTAGTCTCAGAATTTCCAGTAATAATAATATCATCTACATATAATAATAAATAAATGATAGAATTATCCTGGCGGAAAATAAACAAGGAATTATCTGACTTACTGCAAGAAAAATTATGCTGAAGAAGAAAACTACTAAATCTATGGAACCAAGCCCGTGGTGCTTGTTTAAGACCATAAATAGCCTTGCGCAAGCGACACATGTGAGTAGGAAACTGAGGGTGAATAAACCCACGGGGCTGACGCATATAAACCTCCTCAGTTAGATGACCATGTAAGAAAGCATTTTTAACATCTAACTGACGAACCACCCAACCAAAAGAAATAGCCAGGGTGAGAACAATACGCACGGTGGTTGGTTTAATGACAGGACTAAAAGTTTCAGAAAAATCTACACCCGCCTGCTGATTAAAACCTTGAGCCACTAAACGAGCTTTATGGCGCTCCACTGTGCCATTAGAATGATATTTCGTTTTATAAATCCACTTACAGCCAACTATATTCTTAGAATTGTCAAAAGGAACCAGATCCCAAGTATGATTAGTGATTAGTGCATTGAACTCCTCAGCCATGGCCTCTCTCCATTTTAAATGTTTATTTGCCTCAGAAAAACAAGATGGATCAGTGCTAACAACATCAGTGTGTAAAGAAAAAATAGATTTGGGTTTAAAAATTCCATTTTTAGTACGAGTCTGCATGGGGGTGAATATTAGCAATAGTAGTGGGCACAGAAGAGGAGACTGGGTTCCCAGCCGATGTGTGCGTGGTGGCAGGTGTCTCGACCAGGGAATGAGAGGTCGGATTTGGGGAAGGAGACCTAAGAGGACTGGGATTATCATGGTCTGGGATGGATAGGGATGGAGTGGACGGTGTGGTGGGGCTTACTGGTGTAGACAAGTTACTGGCAGTGGGAGATACGTGTGGTGCAATGGATCCAATTGAATGAGTAAAATCTGATTGTGGAAGATATTGGTTGGATGCAGACCGTGGAGAATTACAAGTGTGGGGGGCACAGAATGAACCACCAGGTACAGGGCAGGGAGCCAAATGAGACAAGACAGTGGATTGGGTGTTATGGATTGTTTGGAATGGATAAATACTCTCATGAAATCTAACATGACGACTAATGTATACTCGCCGAGTCCTAGGATCATAACAACGATAGCCCTTGTACCCTGATGCATATCCTAAAAACACACACTGAACAGATCGAGGAGAGAGTTTATTAGAAGAGGTGGCAACAAAATTGGGGTAGCACGCGGATCCAAAAAGACGCAAAAAAGAGTAATCAGGTGTTTTGTTAAAAAGTTTTTGAAACGGAGACAAACCATTTAGGAGAGGAGATGGTAATCTATTAGTGATGTATGCAGCAGTATAGAGAGCATCTACCCAGAATTGACTCGGAACTGAAGCTTCAAGTAGCATGGTTCGAGTTAATTCAAGTAAATGACGATGTTTACGCTCAACAACCCCGTTTTGTTGGGGGGTGTCAGGACAAGATTTTTGAAAATAAATTCCGTGATTATTAAAAAATTGCTGCATTTCACGATTAACGAATTCACCACCCCCATCACTTTGAAAATTTTTAATTTTCTGGTTAAACAGATTTTCAACAAGAAGCTTAAAATTTTTAAAGTGGTGAAAAACTTCACTCTTACGACACATGGGATAAATCCAAGTAAAGCGCGAGTAATCATCAATAAATGAAACATAATATTTAAATCCCAAATTTGATAAAACAGGAGACTGCCACACATCCGAATGAATAATTTGTAAAGGAAAAGTATACATATGAGTAACATTAGAGAAAGGCAAACGTTGAGATTTTCCTAAACGGCAAGCAACACAGTCATGAGCAAAACTCGAATTATTACATAGAGATTTAGTGTGTCTAAGAAGGTGTAAAATTTTGTCACCGCAGTGACCTAGTCTACGATGCCAGACTGGACCCGGAGCTGACACAGATGCTAAAGCTAGTGAGGGTGATGGCGGCAAGTGAATAGGATAGAGTGGCCCACTACTGGAAGCTTGTAGAAGAATTCCCCCCGAGATTTTGTCCTTGACACAAAATGAATTTTTATCAAAAATTACAACACAGTTGTTATCAGCACATAATTTTTGAATAGAAATTAAATTAAATTTTAACTGAGGCACATGATAAACAGATTTCAACATAAGAGAGCGACCCGACGAGGGTAGGGGCACATCACCAACATTACAAATAGATAACTGATTACCATTTGCAACACTAATGGAAGTAGAGCCAGAATAAGCAGATTTATTTTGCAAAATACCTTCTGAGGCTGTCATGTGAGCCGACGCCCCAGAGTCGGGGTACCACAAAGCTGGATTAGTTTCTCCAGAATTAGCCATGAGAACAGGTGCAGATTGCTGTGAGAAACGAGACGGACAGGCAATTGCCGAATGACCTGTAGAAAAACATATCTGACACACAATAGGAGGAGGGGCTGACCCCGGAATACCCCCATCTGATGGAAAGCCTGCAGAATTAGAGTTAGTACCCCAAACAGATAAAGCATGAATATTTAAACTGGACCTGAAGTGTGAGTGAACTGCGGAGCACCCCCTGTATTGGTACTTGCTGCTGCCCCCGAGGAAGAGCCACCGTGAGAAGGACCTGCTACCGCATACCCCTGTGGTGGAAAAGGCCCCTGCTGGCCATAGAAGTGAACTGCCTGCTGCGGAAATCTGCCACGGCCGCGACCACCACGACCGCGAGTACCACGACCGCGACCACCACGACCGCGGAAGCCAGGCGCCGGAGGACGCTTCTGCAGACCCTGTTGCGGCTGATTCTGGGCAGCGAATGCTTGGTGCTGGACAGTTGCTTCCTGTTGTTGAAAATATTTATCTCTTTGCTCTATCTCAA